GATCAAAATCATTTGTACCCCTGCTTCCAGTTTGGTTACATGAGCATTTTGTGTGGTCGTTGGAGGCGCTTTGTTCTGAATATGGACAAACAGGCAGATGAATTCTATTCCTACTCTTTACTGTAATGAGCTTGGTGGCCTTGAAAAGGGCCGTTTTGTTGCCAGAGTTGGAGTGCGTCTCTGTCACTTTAAAACGTAGATGACATCCATGGCCGCTTACGCTTGGCGTGTTTAGTGTAGGTGACAGCATCACAGATCTCATTTTTCAGGAACACCTTCAGCACACCTCATAGATCAGACCGGAGATACGTCAGACACCGCCACGGCGAGCCAGACGACGGATGGTGGTTATCTCGAAGAATTTGCGATGACGATTGGCACCTCCTTTGCCACGACCAGTCAATCGTTGCTTGTTGGGTTGTAGAAAAGTGGACTAGCCACCACCTTCCTACTGCTGCTATTGCTATCCACGCCGTCCGATGCGAAAATGAGCTGATGCCAGACAGCAGCGCTGCCTTGTATCTTTTCAGGTTAAAGCAGAATGATGTGCAACCAAGTGGTTCTCGACTATGAGGACTGGGTTTGGGAAGAACGTTTAACAGTAATAAAATTATCACTTTTTATGCTTCTTGTTAAAAATCATCAGTTGCTAAAGATGCGTAGAAATATTTCTGATCGATTGGTGATAAAATTATTGAAATTGGTCCAGGGGCAGTTGAGTTATTAATGTTCAAAATCTTTCATAATTTTGTTTCATGATCCATTTTCGGTTTTCACAAAGTGTACCCCCATATAGAAATGAAAGACGTAGTCCTACGTCAAAATAATACAGGAATTACCGATTTGCGCGATGGGTAGTGACGTCTACCCACCACCAGCTATCTTTCAACCAATTGAGCTGATTTATTTATTTATTTATTCGTCAATCAATCAAATCGTAGACTACATATTAACATTAGGACTTATGTTCTATGACTTCGCAGTGTTTTGAAATATATTTTTAATTCTTATGAGAGCCTATGCAGGTCAATCATTTCACAATGATGATTATTAAACAGTCATCATCTGATTTACCGGTCCAATTTTAGCGTAATTGGTCCGATGGCGATCTACTGCAAACAAGTGTCGGGAAGGTGCATACAAATTTAATCTTGACAATAGATCAATGCGTTGCGAAATGATAACGATTAATAAAGAAATCTATGCGTAATCCCGACGTTCTTTCAATCTTTGAATGCTGATCAACAAGCAACGTGCTTCATATGACGGGAGAGGAAAAGCCGTCCAACCTAACTTACGTAGTGCATATAATAAAAACTGCTTTTGGATTTACTGGGGGGGTGCAGCTCCACTATTTAGATCATCGCCGCCATGACCATCAACCCATTCCTTACTCTCTCCTCTGCCTGGATCCCCCCGGAACCACTGTGAAGCAACTACTTTGGGGGGGGCGGCTGTGCTCATGCACTTCTGATACTCTCAGTGCTAGTTGGCGTTGCTGGATCGCTGCTCTTTTATCCATTTACGCTGCAACTCCAACATAATCTGCGTGACTGCTCTGTTGACGGCATTCCAAGTACCCTCCTCTCGACACATTTCATCGGCATTTCATTCTCCACGCTGTGAGGTGACGCTATGTGTCCGAACCGATGCAGGTATTTCCTGAAGCAGCCGTGGCCAGACAGGAATTGCGTTAGGTGGAAGTTAACTTCTCCGTGTTTTCTGTTCACCCTGGTCGAAAGAATCAGTATTAGTCGATGTGTTTAAAGGGTGTCCACGATGAAATTGCCACACTATGAAATTGCTCTAACTTTTTAACCGTTGGGTAGAATTTAATGAAAATTTGGGTGGATTTAGTTCATAGTGCATTATTTACATCCTGCAAGTTTTAAAGTCCTGTGATCAAAACTCGCGGAAATGGAGTCGAAAGAACAGCTCGTGCGTGATAAAATCTTGCGCATTCATCACGAGAACAAGGATCTCTCGCATCGTTCCATCGCTAAAACGTTGGGAATCGCGAATTCCACGGTGTCGCGAGTGATTAAGCGGTTCGAGGAACGGTTGACCACCGATCGGAAGCCCAGAAGTGAAGGAAAAAGTATTCCGTACAACACCAAAAATCACAACCGCGTAGTTTAGGCCTTCAACCGAAATCCGAACGCCTCCGTTAGGGATGTGGCTAAGAAGCTGCACCTAAGCCGAAGTTTTGTCCAGAAGGCCAAAACTAAGGCTGGGCTTCGAACGTTCAAGGTACAAAAGGCCCCTAATCGCGACGAGAAGCAGAACAAGTCCGCCAAAACCCGTGCCAGGAAGTTGTACCTCAACATGCTGACGAAAGTTGAATGCTGCATCATGGACGACGAAACATATGTGAAGGCCGACTTCAAACAGATCCCCGGCAACCTGTTTTTCACGGCCAAGGATAAGTTCAGCGTTCCGGAGCATGTCCGCACTAAGAAGATGTCCAAATTTGCGAAGAAATTCCTGGTTTGGCAAGCCATCTGCACGTGCGGGAAGCGGAGTGCACCTTTCGTGACCCAGGACACGATGAACGGACAGGTGTACATAAAAGAGTGCCTCCAGAAGCGGCTGCTTCCTCTCCTGAAGGCCCACAGCGTCCCAACAATCTTCTGGCCGGATTTGGCCTCATGCCACTACTCCAAGGACGTGCTGAAGTGGTATGCGGACAATAAGGTCAATTTCGTGCCGAAAATGTTCAACCCTCCCAACACTCTGGAGCTCCGCCCCATCGAGAAGTACTGCGCGATTATGAAGCAGCACCTTCTTAAACGACCTAAGGTAGTGAAGACAGTCGAGGAACTGAAAAAAGTATGGGTTTACATGCAAAAAACGGTTGATTCACAGGTTGTGCAGAATCTTATGGCCGGGGTTAAGGCCAAGGTGCGGGCATTTGCGTATGGACTGTAAATAAAATACGAGTAAAATGGTAAAATAAAGTTTAATAGTTATTTCTCAATCCCTGAAAATTTGATGGGAATCGGATGAAAACTCGAATTTTGCGAATCAATTTTGTGTGTGGCAATTTCATCGTGGACACCCTTTATCTACCGTTCTCCGCCGTGTTCCACTCCTGTTGCCACTTTTCAACGATTCCGCTCTAAAAAACGTACTCTTCCGGATTCTGTCCGCCTGTAGCACTCGCTGTCCTCCGCCAGGGTGATGCCGATAGGGCTCATTCCGGCGATAACGCATACTGCTTCCGATGAGACGGTTCTGTACGCACTCACGACTCGCATGGCCATGAGCCGGAACGTACTGCTCAGTTTCCTTTGGTTCCGCTTCGTTTCCAGCGCTGGACCTCCATACCTTAGTATCGACGGCGACACACTGGCAAGAAGACGCCTCTTTCCACTGCTGGAACCAGTGTTGTTCGACATGATTCTAGCTATTGCGTTGATGGTCTTCGAAGCATTCTCACAGGCATATTCGACGTGGCTGTTGAAGTTTAGCCGGTCATCGATCATCACTCCCAGGTATTTTAACACACGCTTCGAGGCTATGGCGTGCTCCCCGACGGTAATTTCTGCCAGCTGTACCGCTTCACAGCTATTGACCAATAGCCTTCCGTTTTGTGGTGAGATATCTGCAGCTTCGCTCTTTGCATCCAGTTAACAATCATGTCGATTACCTCGGTTGACAACACTTCTACCTCTTCCAGCGCCTCGCCTGTTACCGTCAAGGTGACGTCGTTCGCAAAGCCAACTATCTCAACTCCTTTGGGAAGGGTTCAGCGTTAGCACGCCGTTGTACATCCCGTTCCACAGCGTTGGACCAAGGATGGAGCCTTGTGAAACTCCTGCTGTGTCTGTCTCGTAGACCAGAACCCGGTTCTGGAAATAACTCCTCAGGATCCTGCACAGGTAATCGGGGACCCTCATTCCATGCAGCCCTTTGGGGATGGCCTCCCTGCTGGCGCTGTTGAACGCATACTTGACGTCGATCGTTATCACGGCGCAATATCGATCTCCCCTCCGCTTCTGTTTGAACGCTTCTCGGCTCTCTCGACCACTGACTGAATTGCATCCACCGTCGATTTTTCCTTCCGGAATCCGAACTACTTCTCCGACAATCCGTGCTCACTCTCTTAGAATCTAGAATAACACAAAAATCTCTTATATTTTCACATTTTTGAACATTTTCATTACCTAATGTAATACGAAGATTTTATTTGTTTAGTTTTCTACTGTACGTTATAAGATTACATATTTCAACATTTAGTTTCCATAAACTTTTACTACACTATCTGTATAAAACATGTATTTCATTCTGAAACACATTCATATCGTTATCGCTTCCTATTTCTAAAAATAGTTTTATGTCATCAGCGTATATAAGTACTCTGATATTTTTAAAATAAGAGATACGTAATTAATGTACAAAAATGTGTTTAAAATAAGACAAGTTTCTAAAAAAAAATAACTACTTTAGTTCTTTAGGTCAAATAACCGCTCAATTGAAAATGAACCCTAGACATGATGGTCCAAAGCTGGCTATATGTTTTCAACATGATGTCCATCGAGATATAGAAGGTAGTGTTGAATGGACCTGCTGCATTATTTTTGAAACGATTTTTTCCCATGACCAATTTTTGGTGTCCACACTCTTTACTTGTATTTCATTGATAACAATAAAAGCCTAGAATCATTCACGAAAATCTGTGGCGTCGCGAGGAATTTGATCAACTTGAATAGAAAAAAAAATACTATCCGTTATACAGGCACAGAAGTTGAATGCAAGAAAAATATAAACCAAATCCATCAGATGGCGAAGCCATCCACCAACATGTAACAATTCAAGAACTCCAGCTATAATGTCAAGCATGGTGTGTGCCATCGTCACAAGCGCAAAGATAAACAAAAGGCTTCGTGATATTGTAACCATACATGCATCCATCACAGGTGCTTCAGTGGTAACGGTTAAAGGTGGTTATCTTATCAGTCGGAGCTTTCTGGAACCTCTATCAAACACTGGGGAGAGACACCAATTCAGTGCTATACCGGTCGTCATTCAGAACATGCGAACTAAGAGATGTACGCATTTTAAAGAACTTAAAAATATTATTAATTCGAAAGAATTACCTCACGTAACTGTCGACAGGAGGTTTAAGTTTTCAATAGCAATAGATCGTTGAAAGAGTCTATAATGGAAAGTCAATGCATTATCTAATGGTGTTATCAGTGAATTATTAACTCGGTTATCATCAATCGAATGTGATGTGTCACAACTTGTGCTAATACCAATCTACGGCGTAATATTTGTGCAATCCAATATGATTCGTCCTGTATTCAGCTGTCTGGGACGCGCGTTGCAGCTCATTCGGAACAACATAAAACCACTGATATTACTCGCATCGTTTGGAACGTTCATATGGTTGATAGTGAGCACTACAAATCGCCCAGAATTTACCCGTCATTCGTCGCAACAAAACGTAGACGGCGACAGTTCACTAGATGTTAATCCAGACCTTAGATGGAGCAAAAGTTCAATTGAGATCTTTCTGCGTTTGTTGGACCTTGATGGAAATGTAACGGCCCTAGTGTTTCAAAGTCAGGATGAGCCTTGCCCCCTGAAGGATGAGATCATTTTCAGTGCATTCGGCGACGATTCATTGGAGGAGAACCTTTGGCAGTACTATACACTGGTAGCGCTTCGGCAGAATATGGCATTCTCCAGCGAGGGAGGATTCGTAATTCTGCCATACCTGCCGCAATCTACGAAGCAACGATTGGAACGGTTGTTTGACGAGTAAGTTAGTTTTGTGATTTTGAATTAGAACGTTTGGAATTGTCTTCAAATTCCCTAGATTGAAGAAATCTAAGGATACAAGCTGGGGCATCACAGGTATTCGTTACACACTTAATCTAGCTCGGTAAAATCTCCAACAGCCGATTACTTCGGGATTTACTTTTGCTGATATCTCTGCAAAATATTTGTTTGTTAGCTGATATCTCAGCAAAATGTTATTTGTTAGCTGAATCTCGGCAATTGTTTGACTGAATCTCAGCAAAATAAATTGCAGAATTACTCGGCTGTTGGAATCTCGGCGAAAAAAAAATAAGTGTGTATACTCCATGCATTAATTATTCATCACTTCGACTAACCCATCCTCTCCTTCCTCCTAAAAATTGTTTTTGACCGATTCATTTAGATAAAAATTATACACTGAAACAAAACAACACGTAATATTTATTGGTTAAATCCTTTCAATTTCATTGGACGTCCAATGAAATATCGCTTTGAAAAATCCAATGATAGATATGTGCCAATGATGGACGACACTTCGTGCCTATTAACAGGGTTCATTTTTAATCTGAACTTCTTGTAGCCCTATGACCATCCGAAAAGCTAGTTCCTGATAGTCTTATTTGCAGTTTTGTTTTGATTCTGCGTTCCGAATCGCATCGTTCGATTTCGCTTTTCTCCATTCCATTTGCTAAATGACGTTTGAGCACTTATTAGTTTGCACGGCGTGCAGATTACCGGAGGTAAAGTTCGGAAGATTTACGCGACCGACTATCTGAGGCGACTGAATGTCCACATGATTTTACTGAAATCTCCGATTGCTATTATGTTAATTGGGTTGTTTGAGGTAAATACATATTCGTTATCTTCATCAAATATGGAACCGAAACCCAAAATTTCATCAATTTTTGTACACTGGAACTATTTTAAATAAGTACGATCACATTAGCAGACATCCCCATCTTAGTGCCCCTTGGTGGGACTTTGTATGGAAGCGAACTGTCAACGAATAGATTAAGTCGAGGATTAAGTGTCAATGATCAAAAATTTAAATCTTGATTTTAAAATCGAGATGAATGTCTACGGAATTGATAAAAATATCGTTATGCTCAGAAAACGAAGATCAGGTCAATCAGATGATGTATGAAAATCGGTATATTTTTCAAAGTTGATCAACCCAATTATCTAAATAATACTAAAATAAAGGCTGACTAAAAGTAAATTGATACGCACAAAACGACCTGTAATTCATGATTCAATAAGTCTAAAAAATCCATTAATGCTATACACTACTTTTATTAAAACTTCAAAGTTACAGCATTAGATGGTTACATTTCTCCAGTTCGAACGAAATCTCTAACCTTCCTCTTCCCGCACAGTGGAAACGGACCCGGGATCAGCGCATTTCTTCCATTTTGCCCACGTCGAAGTCACTGCTTTGAAATTGCCCAGTATTAGCTTGGGGACAAAATCGATATTTTTGGCAGCATACCATTCCAGAACCACCTTGGAGTAGTGGAAGCATTCCAAATCAGGCCAAAATATGACTTTGTCATATGCTTGCGGATGAATTGCAATACACGCTTTTTCAGGCATTCTTCGATGTAAACTTGAGATGTCATCGTCGAGGATGTGACGAATGGTTCCGTTTTCAGGCCACAACTGCAAATCGCTTGCCAAATCATGGCCTTCTTCGCGAACTTGTCGGCAAACACACTTGAATCTTCCCTGCACATCCCCACGTCCAGTCGCGATGTAAAATTTTTGACCGGGAAGCTGCTTAAAATCGAGTTTGACGTATGTTTCGTCATCGATCAAAGTACAAGAGCCTTGCACGCTGCTTGGCCACGGAATGCTGCTTCATGTGCCGGTTCGGACGTTTACTGGCTTTGTACGACTTGTATCCTTCCCTCGCAAGGATGTTTCACACCGTTTGAAAGTTGGCGTCGTACCTTCTGGCCACATCTCGGATCGAAAGACCAGGGTTGGCTTTAACGCACCTCAACACCTTGCAACACCCAGCTAAAGATCCCTGGTTCCAGGTTTTTCGTAGGTCCGCTGATTCCTTTCGACACTCAGGGTTCACTTGTAGGCTTTGAGCACTCGACAAACTGTTGTTTTCGGCGTCTTCAGCACTTTAGCCAGCTTGGAACCGGGCCACTCCGGATTTTCCAGGTGTTTGTGCACAATATTTTTTCTTCTATCGAGTTCCATTTGACGTTATTTCTGCACGCGATCGGCTACTTTGATCAAACTTGCACCAGTTGTTATATATAGAAGTGTCAACAAACCACTGTCAAAGATTTTCGATTCTCAACACTAGAGGCGTGCTAGCGACCCGTGAGGGGCGTACCAATTTACTTTTAGTCAGCCTTTAATAATCAACCTTATGTCTTGATAAAAAATAAAGAACTTTATTGAAATCTCCAATCAGCTGGAAATCGTTTAAATACTTTCTGATCAACCTGTCATAATGGAAAAATATCTGAAAGACAATGTTTGAATTTTCGAACAGCAGATCTTCAGAACAATATTTGATCGACCCAGAGTATGAAAATCAACAAATGTGCCTTCCACATAAATTAATTGGGAAACAATAACATTCTACAAAGCTTGCTGAACTTCTAAGAAATTCCCTGAACTTCTAAGAAATTCCCTGAACTTCTAGAAACTTCTCCGAACTTTCACGGCGAAGTTCCCTGAACTCCTACAGAATTCCCCGATGCACTTCAATGCAGTTTTGCGAAGTTCCTCGAAATGATACGTAATTTGCTAAACGTCTACAAAGTTCACTGAACTACTATGAAGCTTGCTGCACTTCTACAAAGTTTCATGAACTTCTAAGATTTCGTTGATTATTTGCGAAGTTACCTGAAGTTCTACAAAGTTTCCTCAACTCCATTAAACTTTAACGAAACACCGTACTTTTATGCTCGCTTTTATGTGGTTTGCTGAAACTAAACAAGGTTCCCTTAACTACAACGAACTTCCCCAAACTTGTACAAAGCTACCTGAATTTCTCCGAAATTAATCCAGGGTAAAGATTGGATTCACTCAGTCTATTGGTACTACTCCGAGACTGAATAAAATTTTCGTCAATTACCTCATTTTCCGGCAGATTTTTTAGGTTTTCCACAGGAAACCATGGGACAAATTTTACTCATCGCTGAGTTCCTCCACTTTTGGCGATTATGAGTGAACTAAACTCAAATTTGAGTCGTTCTCATTCGCCGTGTACCTTACCACAAAACCGGTTTATCAACCACTAGCGGTGGAAACTATTACTCAATTCTCTGAAGCTCTACAAAGTTCCTCAAATTTATATTAAGTTTCCTGAATATCTTCTTAAGCTTTACGAAGCTCAATGGAGTTAAAGAAAAATCCCCGAACTTCAATGAAGTTTCCCGAGTTTCTACAAAATTTCTTTAAAGTTTGCTAAATTTCAATAAAGTTTGATGAATTTCTACAAAATGATCTGCACTTTTGTGGAACTCGCTGGAATTCCACGAAGTTCGCTGAGCTTCTACAAAATTAACTGAGCTTTTTCAAAGTAACCCTAATAAAAATTGTATGGTTAATTTGCTTAACGACGTGTTCTGGGTATCATCCAAACCATTTGTGGAATAGTTCAATGATTTGGGTTATCGTTCGTTATGGTTATTTTTTATTAGGGAAGCTGAGCTCCTATTTGTTGTAATTCTAGAAAGTTTACAGAACTTCAGTTTTCTAAAGTTCTGCGTAGTATCCTGAAATCTACAACATTCCTATTTATATAGTTTGTTTATTTGTCCAGGCTCATTCGCAGTAGCTTTACGGAGCCGATATTCAGTTTTTGTCTAACTATATCAAAAAGCACGCGTAATTTGATGGCAAAAGGAATGAAGAAATGACGATGGCAAAAGGAATCAATAAATGCAATCTGAAATGATGCATCGAAAAAAAACTGGGTTTGAATTTTCCGACATCGCACCAAAGTCAATTGAACCAAACACAGTGCATTGAACTCAAGTTCATTTTAGAGTTCAGAACATGGAAATCGTGCCAATTGGATACCCTCAAATGCAACTGGAATTTAGCTGGTTTCAAAAATCTAATATTTAATCAGAAACCAAATATTATCTGTCCTCGGATATTTTACGTACTCTAGGTTATAAATGCTTTACTCGATGGCGTGCTGTAACTCTAAAACTAACATTTCCGTTATGTATTTCCATCCACAGGGTACCAATGCCCACCGTCAGTGATCTACCTTTCGACTGCTACGACATCGGCAATGCCGTAATCATAAACAGTTCCACCGACATTGTACGTCCACAGAGTCGAAATCAAATTCAAATTTTGGACAGCGGAACGCGGCGGTACCGGGATCTAGCTGCTACTGACTGGGGCTCTGAAAACACTATGTTCACCCTCCAGACAGCCAGCGCCGCTCGACAACGTCTGAGCAAGCTTCGCAATCAAGGGCCAAAGATTCGACCGACTAACCAATCCGGGGTGGAATTTGTCGGAATCTACATACGGCGGGATGACTTCCTTCCGTTCGATTACTTCTACCGAGCAATCACCTTCCAACGGAAGCTGCACTATGGCAGACTGATCTTTGTGGTCATCTGTGAAGAACCGCAAGGTAAACTGTGTAAAAAGATACATGCCCCCCTAGAGGAGGTGTACGTCCAGCCGATGAAAGCGGACGACCCGGGATACGACTTTGCGCTGATGTCCCTGTGTAATCATACGATCATTTCGAATCACATGGGCATATTCCACGCGCTGAATAATGGAGGCGATGTGGTTGTGTACGAGTTTGAGGAAGTGGATGCCCGAATCCGCTATCTGCCGTGGTTGCTGGCCAACGAACTGGACAGTTGGTACATGCTAGGATAGTGTGTGGGATAAGGACAGTGATGCACATACCTGGCGATGCCGGAAGCGATAGGTCTGCTGTTGGTTCTTCTCCGTTCTCAATAAAGCGTAATTTCTTTTTTAAGCCATTTTTGAAGTTTGTTTTTAACTATCACATTTTTTGTTATCACAAGATGATTTGATCACTACTATGACTACTTAGCTCAAGTTGTAATTGTGTTGCCACTAGAACAGTTTTTTTTTCAATAATAGAACGAAACGTTTAACTCATAAATTAAACAATAAAAGTTTAATAATAAGTATTGCGCATTTCACACCAAATTGGACTAATAAGCGCGTTTTCACTTATTAAAAAGTGTGATAAAATTGCGTCTAATCGTCTTGGTGTCTTCGGTGCACTTATTCTTTATGATCACGGCGAATGAGAACAACTCAAATTTGAGTTTAGTTCACTCATAATCGCCAAAAGTGCAGGAACTCAGCGATGAGTAAAATTTGTCCCATGGTTTCCTGTAGAAAACCTAAAAAATCTGCCGGAAAATGAGGAAATTGACGAAAATTTTATTCAGTCTCGGAGTAGTACCAATAGACTGAGTGAATCCAATCTTTACTTTTCTCAAATTCGGGAATTTTTCCCTGGAAAATCCTGGAAAACATGAGGCAAATTAACTCATCGCTGAGTTCCTGCACTTTTGGCGATTATGAGTGAACTAAACTCAAATTTGAGTCGTTCTCATTCGCCGTGATGCTATCAGCATCTGATACACTCGACACGCTTTTTCAAAACTCTCCAAATTTGGGTAGAATCCACCCAGATCGGTCAAAACTGAACCTATCCAAAAATGGGTAAACTGTGTTGGGAGTGACATGTTGACAAATGAACAACGTCAACTTGTCTCTCCCTACATAGTTTACCCATTTTTAGTTAGCTTCAGTTTTGACCGATCTGTGTAGATTGTACCCAAATTTGTTCATCGAACAAGCATTTAACGGTCAATTCAAAAGTATCATAGTTGGTAGTACCACCACCTGTGGCGCGCATAGTCAATTCCCTTGCGTTTGACGTTTACACACTACCGCCATCTGTTCAGCGTACTACCCACCACAGTGTACTCAACAGATGGCGGTAATGTTTTAGCGACGATGTTTTACATTGAGAAATATTCAATGTGTTATGTCTGTTTGTCTGTGTCAAAAGCATGTTTATTTCAATAATATAGAATTTGGGTAAACGATTTTTAGCGTGCCCTGCCTTTTTTTCCTTCTTGTTTACATTCGGAAAAAATGCCCCAATCAACTGAAAACGGCCCGCAACAAAACCGAAGTCAGGGATTCGGAAACCCACCTAGGTAAGTGTCTTAACAAAGTTCCGGCTCGATAAAACCGGAGGAACCCCAGCGGTATCGACGTCACTCTGTCGTTTCTGATGCCAATCCTGTATCATCCTCCTCCACAACTGACGTCGAAAGAAAAACGAAAATCCGAAATAGATTTTGAATCTATTCCGGATCCTCCAGCCCCCCTCCTTGAACACCAAACGTAGAAAGAGGCCGGCATGAGGACCAGCGTTAGAAACGACAAAACGACACTGATATCACAAAGTTTCACTGGTTTTACTGAAATGAAACTTCCGGACACTCACCCCGACGGGTCCCCGCATCTCGGACCAGGACCCAACATCCACAGCTTACCCTTAATCGCACCCGAAAAAGAGCAGGAGCTTAGATGCCTTGTCTGCAGATCGTTTTTTCATCTCTTTGTATTCCATTTTTTTGCTTTATCCTGCTAATATAATTTAAAATTAAGTATGTTTCTTTCAAACATAAGAAGCATGTTTAAAATAAACATATTTATTTTTGTTCACATACCTGTCAAACCAAACAAAAATATTCACGTTTATTTTCAACACGAATATTTTTAAAATAAACGTAACATTATTTTTGTTTTAAACATTAATATCACATGACTTCAAACATGGAATACGTTTGAAATAAACCTTATTTATTTTTGTGGCCAGAACAAACTGAGTTTACGTTTAAATTTACCTCAAATATTTTTGTTTCAACGATAAATTTTTCTGCGTGTGTCAAACTGTGTCGCGAGCTTAGCGAGAAACTCGTTTATGTTGCCGTGCGGTAAACCAAAGAGAAAGTCGATAAAGAGATTAGATCAACTGAACGCTCGTAAAATGCTGGATAGTGACAAAGCTGTATCACCATGTATTACCCAAAAAATTCTACCCAAAATTTGAGTTCTTTTTACTTAATATTGACTTCAGCTTCTCACTTGCACTCGTTATTGTTGTCAAAAAAGGAACGAGAGATTCAACCCAACGATATAGTTCAGCCCAATAAGTTACTTTTGAGTAAATACCATATTCTCAAATTTACGTTAATTATATTTTGGGTAGAATATACTTAACACGCAGAAAATTTTATCGTTTAAACAAAAATATTTGAGGTAAATTTCTCAGTTTGTTCTGGCCACAAAAATAAACAAGGTTTATTTCAAACGTATTCCATGTTTGAAGTCATGTAATATTAATGTTTAAACTAAAAATAATTTAACGTTTATTTTAAAAATATTCGTGTTGAAAATAAACGTGAATATTTTTGTTTGGTTAGACCGAGGGTTAGACAACAATGTGTACAAAAATAAATATGTTTATTTTAAACATGCTTCTTATGTTTGAAAGAAACATACTTAATTTTAAATTATATTAGCATTGGAATGTAAGATAAAGCAGAAAAATGGATTGCCAAGAGATGAAAAAACGATCTGCAGGAAGATCCCGAATTCAGTTTGATTGCAATGCTCGTTGCAATGTAGGATTGGAAATGCAGGAATCGGAAGAAGATGAGGATGATGAGAAACCGTTGAGTTCGGTAAGGAAGGAGGATGAATGCAGCAATGATTTTAGTAAGAAGTTGATCCAACAAATTAATCAGTCGAGTCAGGATTGTGTGAATATGATAAATCTTGCTGAAGTTTCGAAGCGAATGGAAAATGAGCGGATGAAGATGGAGCAATTACGGAAAGAGCAAGAACACAAGGCAGGTGTAAATGAGGAGCATGTTTCGGATCTGTTTGTGGCAGGAGAGAAGATCAAAGACAAAAGCTCGAAGCAAACAGGAAGAAATGACTTTTTCAGGGGGGGGGGGGAGGGGCTGGAGGTTCCGGAATAGATTCAAAATCCATTTCGGATTTTCGTTTCCATTTGTTAAGATACTTACCTAGGTGGGTTTCCGCATCCATGACTTCGGTTTTATTGCGGGTTGTTTTCAGTTGATTAGCAAAGCTGGAGCAATTTTTTTCCGAATGTAAACAAGAAGGAGAAAATGCAGGGCACGCTAAAAATCGTTTACCCAAATTATATATTGTTGAAATAAACATGCTTCTGACTTTAATTCAAACATATATATTTTTGTTGCAAACATGGTTTTAATTTATTTTGAATTATCCATATGTTTATAGAATGAACATTTTTATTTTTGATTTAAATGAACAAAATTCGGTTCCGTGCAGAAGATGATGTTAGCTTGTGTCTGAAACAACACATTCAATGGGGAATTCATTTGCAGTCGGGTTATTCGCGAAAGAGAAAGTCGATGAAACGAATCGATTAACAATGATAGGCCCTTTTCTCGTGTTGCGCGAGAAATCATCTGAAATCGTGAAACCGAGTAAATGTTCGTAAAACCGAATAAAAGGATCCGGGAACCAGTTTAGGTAAGTGTCCAAATGAAGTTTCAGCTCAACAATACCACCGGAACCCTACAAAATCAACATCATCCCATTGTTTCTTATGCCGATCCTCATATCACCCTTGCCCAAGACGTCGAAAGTATAGTCGCTATATTCATAGTCTGGCGGATAGAATCTCGGGAACCAATTGAGCTGTCAAATAGCGGAACCAATCGAGCAAATTATCACCAACAACAGAAAGAGCACATCACCCTAATAAAAAAATTACCATAAACGAACGATAACCCAAATTATTGAACAATTTCACAAATGGTTTGGATAATACCCCAAACACGTCATTAAGCAAATTAACCATAACATTTTTATTAGGGCAGCTATTGGGAACAAAACTTCGGAAACCCTTTGCTCGTGACGGCTCGCGAAAAAATACAAAATACACCTTTTCAAGTCAGGTAGATGAATCGAAAATATCGGATAGGGAAAACTTTTCCCAACTCAAATATGGTGTTGGTTTGCGTACGCACAGCGTTTCCATTTTGGCTTAATCACTCCTCTCCACACCGGTCGTTGCTATCAGAGTCATAATTTAAGTTACCGTTTTCCAAACCGGCAAAACAAACTTTTTGCGTTTATTCAAAATAGCAACCGTCTGATGCGTTGCTACTGGGTTGCTAAATTTATGAACTCACTACTTCCCAAGGTGCGGATTGTTATTTCCCCCCACCGGTACGCAACATCATCGAGTTGAGAAAATTCTCCCCTTTCCGATAATGGTATTTATGCGCGTGATGCTTCGGTTCGCATGGGAAATGGTTTTACAACTTTTGTATACAAAAGCTTTTGTGCCGCGTTTTCAAACGAATCTGTTCGATTTCTCTATTTCCCAAGCTGCGATGGATATCGCCCTTTGTGCGATCAACGATTCTAGTACTACATGTTTTGAGGAGCGGAATTAAAATAACCGTCACCCTAGCGTCACCTAGCCGTTGAAACGGACAGGTACACAAAGCAGAAACGTCAAAATCGTTGATTTTTTCTTTGTGTTTCCTTCAGCTGGGTGGCATGCCGCCATGTTATTGAAACTAACATCTGAAACGTCACAATTCAAGTGTGAACTGCAAAAATGGCGTGACTGAATTGTCTTATTTTTATCAAATGAAATTATTTTCCCTTTTATGCCATATAAATGGTTGACTTCGTGGTAGAAAATCATAAAATAATATTTTATGAGTTCTAAGTTTATTTTTCACAAAATGTAAGCAAAAATATTAAGAATATCTAAAATATCAGTCACGCCTTTTTTGAAATTCTGGCTTGAATCTTCGATTTGTTTACACATTATGAGCTGTCAGTGGGGCCCACGATTCGCGGGCCCGCAGCGATGTTAGCTCTTTTCAAGGCAAGGCAAACAAGATAGGGCTGCCACCCAGCTGGTTTCCTTATACTTTTTGCTTTTCGCAGTCGTTCCACTCACTCGTACGCAGCGAAGAAAAGCGTTCGCAGTTCGTGAGTGTTGATCGAATCGGTAAAAGTCTCATAAAGAAGAATTTTCCCTTCATTTATTTCGCTGTTTTCGCGTTTGCTACTGCGTGGTGGTGGAAGCAAAAATAGCCTTTCCTTCCTCTACTCGTTCGTGAGTGTGTTAATATTGTCCTTTCCGGGTTTGCAGTGCAGTAAATTTCATCCATTCGTTTCCGAGCAGGTAGGTTCTGGAACTTCCGAAAGCTGCCAGCATCCATCTTGGAAAAATGGATGCTTTGTGTTGTACTGTTTTTGCGATGCATCGCTATGATTCCGTGGAAAGTTGGATCAATACGTGCATGAAAATATTTGTGTGCCCTGAGAAAAAAAAATGGTGATCTTTTTTTTTTCAGGGCTATTAATAGCGAACGGTCACAATGCCAAACATCAAGCTGCAATCGTCGGACGGAGAGGTTTTCGATACCGACGTCCAGATCGCGAAATGCTCCGGAACGATCAAAACAATGCTGGAGGATTTGGGCATGGACGAAGGGGAGGATGAAGTTGTCCCGCTACCCAATGTCAACTCGGCCATCTTGCGAAAGGTCTTGCAGTGGGCCACTTACCACAAGGACGACCCGGCACCAGCCGAAGATGACGAAAACAAAGAAAAGCGTACCGATGACATCAGCTCCTGGGATGCGGACTTCCTCAAGGTCGACCAGGGAACACTGTTCGAGCTGATTCTGGCGGCTAACTACCTGGACATCAAAGGCCTGTTGGATGTGACGTGTAAGACGGTTGCCAACATGATCAAGGGTAAGACACCGGAGGAGATCCGGAAGACGTTCAACATCAAGAACGATTTCACACCGGCTGAGGAAGAACAGGTACGCAAGGAGAACGAGTGGTGCGAGGAGAAGTAAACTGCATACTGTCTCGAGATAAGTAACCATACATTTTACATTTCTTACTAATGGCAAACACAGCTGAGCGATTGAAGGCTTTTTTTTATATAAAAAAATCTAAACACATGATTACTTGCTGCATAGAAACGAGCGAGATAAGCTTTCCTGAATTTCCAAACTGAATGCACTCTCTTAAATTGCTTTTCGTGAAGAGAGTGGCGGAACTCGAAACAATTAAAGGGCACTGAACACCCAACCTTGTTGCTACACCGGATAAACCCTCAATGAAGAACATAAATGTTTCTGTTTGACACATGAACATGATCTAATTAAATAAACATTATTGTTAGCTAATAAGTGTAGAATCGTTTGTTTTTCATGGGGAATAGTCAAAAAAGAAAAACCATTTGAATGCAGATTTAAAAAAGCCCCCACCATTTATTTCTCTTCGCTCTTTAGCTTTGGCAGAGGAATATGCTCCCTGTCACTTTCGCGCAATACTCCTGGTGGCAGGAATCCCAGCAAAGCCGTCACGTGTTCCTTCAGCAATTTGATACGCTCCTCCTCGATAATCTCCTGGCGTCGTTTCTCCTGCTGCTCGAACATAGTTTGCTGTTGCATCAGTTCCTTGATCTGGTCGGCCCGCTGCCGTTTGCGATCCTCCAGCAGTTCCTGTATGGCTCGTCTATGCTCCATCAACTTCAGACGTCGTTTCTCGTTCGTCATCTGATCGATGCGATCCCGTTCAGCCCACAGCTTCAGTTGATCTTCCTTGAACTTGCGTTCCTCGTCGGCTTCACGCTGCCGCCGACATTCGATCTCCGTCAGCTGGCGTTCCAGCCCGAGTCGGGCTTCGATCCGTTTGCGCAACTGCTGCTCCAGGTCGCGCTGGATGCGATCTTCCTGTCGTTCGTCCAATTCGGCGGCGTACAGATCCTGCAGTAGATCCTCGCGCTTGCGGGCCTCGTCCTAGATGGGCGGGAAATTAGAATTTTAATATAGTTGTTTTCTGTTGGCCGCTTAAGCCAGCTAAAAGCCGTCGCCCTTGTAAATTGAACAGAAGATAGAACCAAATTAGTTGTTGGTTTAACCTTTTCATGGCATAGAAGTGGCTTTACGCATCTTCCCAGATGGAAAAGGCAAAGATAGGATTAGCGATGAAAACTTAGCAATCCTTGACGATACAAACGTCTTGACTCTTGGAGCCCTGTGCTGAGTGAAAACTTCGAAAACTGCTAAAAGAACGCAGATCAGCTCAGGGAAAACCTCACCGCAAACGAAAAAAAAAATCACCATGTCCCTGGACCTTACGCTTGACCAGGGCGAGGAAATCCGCTTCCTCAACAAAATCTCCGACACGGTCAAACAATTGCACAAGAAAACCCATTTCACCGCCCGGGAGTTGGAAATCTCACTGCTCCTGTACTACAAACTGCTCAAGGACGAAGATGGACCCCGGAGTCCTGTTCAAGGTTTCATCAGTCGACAGCAGTTCACCACGGTGTTCGATACGGCGTTCGGAATGACGGACAATGTCATGATCGGAAGGATCTACGCTGCACTGGACAAGGGTGCAACGTCTCACGTCACGATGGAAACCTGGGTGCACACGTTGTCGCTCTTCCTGCGGGGGACATTCGAGGAGAAGGTAAAGTACTGCTTCAAGGTGTACGACATCCAAGGAGAGGGAATGATCCGTCGAGATCATATGATGCTGCTGCTCAAAACTGCAATCGTCAAGCACCAAGATGAGGAGGTGGAGGAAGCGGTCAAGGACTTAGTGGATATCATCCTGCACCGGATGGATATCGATCGGGATGGATCGATATCGTTCCAGGATTATAGCGAGACGGTTAGAAAATCACCGCAAATGTTGGAGTGCTTTGGGCAGGCGTTGCCAGATCGCGGATATATCTATGCTTTTTCGAGAACCTTTTTGGAGCGGGTTCGAAAATTTTAAGTCAATAAAAATTCAATTCAAGTAATTAGTACTTACAAATTCACTCTGTAGTTCTGCGACCATCTTTTCGTTGAGTTGTTCCCGGAAGCGTGTACTCTCCAGTTTCCTCTCACGTTGCTCCTGTTCCTCTGCCTCGCGGGATTCCAAGTATTGGCGAATCCGTTCGTTCTCTTCCGCCATCGCCAACTTCTGGCGTTCTTGCCAAATCGATTGGGCTTCCTTAAAGTATTCCATCTCCTTACGGGTGCGTTCCTGTAGTTCCAACTTACGCTGAATCTCAGCAAATCGCTCCTCCTGCAGTCTTTTGCAAATTTCGTCGAGATACATTTTCTCTTTGAGGAATTCCTCGTACAGAATCTGTTTCTGTCGTTGCAGAGCTTTCATCTGAGTGTGCAGGACGTCTCGGAGCTCCCGTTTCTGTTTCCATTCCTCTTCCTGACACTGGCGGATGTATTCTAGATTGTTGAGACGTTGCTCTTCCAGCTCTTCCTGTTCCTGTTGGGCAGCAATCTTTTCCTCCAGTTTTTTAGCTTCCAGTTCCGCCTTCTGAGCGGCAATACCTTTGGCGACGTAAGCTGCTCGTAACTTGGACTCAAGCTCCCGAAGCTCCTGATTGGATTCCCGAAGCTGCTGGCGAAGCTTTTCCTCATTGATCCGACGACGGTTGGCGTCGTGCAGTTGCATGGCTAGTTCTTGTTCCTCCTGAAACAGATGGATCATCAGTCTGGTTTTTAAAATTAAGAATATGAGCATTAATACCTGCAACTGCCGCCGCCTGGCCGCTTCTTTGGCTTCTTCCTCTCGCCTTTTAACATCGTCATCCCGTTCTCGGCAATGGGCCGACTGTTGGCGTTTCAGCAAACTCAACTGGCTGTTACGTTGGATTTGGTTGAAGTCTTTGTGGTAGCTTTCGTGCTGCTTGGAAGTTTCCACCTCCCGGCAGAGTGCCGTCTGCCGAAGCTGACGACGTTTTTCCGGTGCTGGGAACTTTCCGGATGAGAAACGATTGTAATTTGCACGTTAGTAAAAACAGTTAAATAATGCTCACCATTACTGTAAAATATAGTCAAATAGAAACAACACACTGGAAACATTCACAAAGTTTGGAAAACAATGTTTGAAACTAAACGTACCGGCGGTAATCATGGTAACCGTCTTTATTAGGGTAAACAACCCGTTTCCGGTAACAAAAGTGGCGCAAGCTGCGAACTCGCGAAGTTCTCGTGAACCCCATTTGAAAAATATCTCTCTCTCATTGGCGCACTTAGGGATGTCTGGATATTTCTCGAATAATCGAACTAAAAGAATTTGTTATAATTCAATGGATTTTCCATTGAATTATAACCAATTCTTTTAGTTCGATTACATGAAATTTGTTTCCACATGTTTGAAGGTCCTCTAAGTAAAAGATGGTATTATCACAGACAAACAGACATAACAGATTGAATATTACTCACTGTAAAACATCGTCGCTAAAACATTACCGCCATCTGTTGAGCTCACTGCGGTGGGCAGTACGCTGAACAGATGGCGGTAGTGTGTAAACGTCAAACGCAAGGGAATTGACTATGCGTGCCACAGTACCGGTACTACCAACTATGATACTTTTAAATTGACCGTTAAAAACTTGTTCGATGAACAACTTGAGAGTGTTATGTCTGTTTGTCTGTGGTATTATCATTGGATTAGAACGAGGATTAGAATCCGTTCAAGCTTGTCTTAATATATGATTTCGGATAATGGAGTGATACTACCCGACTCTGTTCAAACATTCGACAGAGCTCTTAAGCAGGGGCAGTTAATAAGATTATAGTTAAATCAAGTGTTAAATCAGACCCCCTTCACTCTTTGGAATTTAGAGACAGATAACAGCGCCAAACGGTTTTTGACGAGACAACGTTGAACTGTTGCGTTGGAAGAAAACACGCACACCAACATCTATACATGTACAAACCCGAATAGAAATTGTAATGTAGGAAACATCAGCAGACATCTTCAATACATTAAATTTTAACGTGTATTGCTGTACCCTTAATGTATTCAGACTTCAGTGTGACGTCCAAGTACATAAAAATACATTAGCCTCAAACGTTACATCAGAATCAAACGTCTTGACGATGTCAAATTTGACATCAGAATACATCCAATGACAACAGAACCTAACGTTACATTAGAATCAAACTTCATCACGATGTAATTTGTTGCACGCATAAAGCATCAGAATACATCCAATGACAACAGAACCAAACGTTACATTAGAATCAAACTTCATCACGATGTAATTTGTTGCACGCATAAAGCATCAGAATACATCCAATGACAACAGAACCAAACGTTACATTAGAATCAAAGTTCATCACGATGTAATTTGTTGCACCCATAAAACATCAGAATACATCAAATGACAACAGAACCTAACGTTACATTAGATTAAAAGTTCATCACGATGTAATTTGTTGCACGCATAAAGCATCAGAATACATCCAATGACAACAGAACCAAACGTTACATTAGAATCAAAGTTCATCACGATGTAATTTGTTGCACCCATAAAACATCAGAATACATCAAATGACAACAGAACCTAACGTTACATTAGATTAAAAGTTCATCACGATGTAATTTGTTGCACGCATAAAGCATCAGAATACATCCAATTACAACAGAACCAAACGTTACATTAGAATCAAAGTTCATCACGATGTAAATTGTTGTCCCTCGGTCCCTCGCCGCATGCAAAGTTTGTTTCGAGGTTTGTTTTGTCCTGAGTCAGCACCACACGGCGAATGAGAACGACCCAAATTTGAGTTTAGTTCACTCATAAATTGCAAAAAGTGCAGGAACTCAGTTTTGAATTAATTTCCCTCATGTTTTCAAGGTTTTTTCCAGGAAAATTTTTCCGAATGTGAGAAAAGCAAAGATTGGATTCTCTGGATTCTCGTCAATTTTCCTAATTTTAGGGCAGATTTTTGAGGTTTTCCACAGGAAAACATGCGGCAAATTTACTCATCCTGCACTTTTTTCGATATTGAGTACACTGTCCTCAAATTTGCGTTGATCTCATTAGCCGTGTACAGTTTGTTTTCGCATCAGTGCGAAAAATCTGGATCAACAATAGAAAAGGGCCCATCAGCATTTGTAAACAAACCGTTCCAAAGCCCATTCCTCACAAATCGAAGGCCGCCCACACAAACCAACACCATCATCGTGTAGGTGGAAGTTTCCCCTATCCGATGATGGTGCTGGTTTGCGTGGGTGGCCTTCGCTTTGTGAGGAATGGGCTTTGGAACGGTTTGTTTGCAAATGCTGATGGGCCCTTTTCTATTGTTGATCCAGAAGTTTGGTTTTTCGACGAATAAATTAGCCCGCGGGAAAGTGCCGATCAAGGTGACTACATATAGGTGTTCTAATGTGTCAAATTCACGATTCAGCTATGTTGGATTTTTGTATGGAACAGCTACCGAGTTTGCTTCTGTGCCATAAAAAGGGAGCTACCGAGTTTGTTTACAATTTGTTCTAAAACCGCACTTTTCCCCCCGCGACCTCCACGCTAATATAGTGACAAAGCTGTATCACCATTTATATACCCACCATGGTGCCGATAATGTGTCCGTCGCGAGTTTCAATGTTTTTCTGGTAAGTAAATGTGAACTTATTAATGTAATGTAATATAATTTTGTTTTTTTTTTAGGAAAGTGTACCAGTCCCAAGCCGACTCCCGGTAGGGAGTCTGAAGCTAGATCCCGGCGGGAAGTTTGCAGCCGGATCTCTTTTGCAGGTTAGTGAGTGTTTTTACTAAAAGCTACAATTAAATATAAGTGGACCCCGATGGAAATCCGATGACGGATTCCATAAACGGAGCCCGATGAAGGGTTCCGTAGACGGATCCCGATGACGGGTTCCGTAGACGGATCCCGGTGACGGGTTCCGTAGACGGATCCCGATGACGGGTTTCGTAGACAGATCCCGATGACGGGTTCCGTTGACGGATCCTGATGACGGGATTCCGTAAAGGGATCCCGATGGGGAAACCGAATACGGATCCTCCCGATGGGGAAACCGAATACGGATCCCGATGGGGAAACCGAATACGGATCCCGATGGGAAAACCGAATACGGGTCCCAATGGGGAAACCGCATACGGATCCCGATGGGGAAACCGAATATGGATCCCGATGGGAAAACCGAATACGGGTCCCAATGGGGAAACCGAATACGGATCCCGATGGGAAAACCGAATACGGGTTCCAATGGGGAAACCGCATACGGATCCCGATGGGGATTCCGTAGACGGATCCCGATGGGGATTCCGTAGACGGATCCCGATGGGGATTCCGTAGACGGATCCCGATGGAGAAACCGAATACGTATCCTGATGGGGAAACGGAATACGGATCCCGATGGGGAAACCGAATACGGATCCCAATGGGAAAACCGAATACGGGTCCCAATGGGGAAACCGAATACGGATCCCGATGGGAAAACCGAATACGGGTCCCAATGGGGAAACCGAATACGGATCCTCCCGATGGGGAAACCGAATACGGATCCCGATGGGGAAAGCGAATACGGATCCCGATGAGGAAACCGAATACGGATCCCGATGGGAAAACCGAATACGGGTCCCAATGGGGAAACCGAATACGGATCCCGATGGGAAAACCGAATACGGGTTCCAATGGGGAAACCGCATACGGATCCCGATGGGGATTCCGTAGACGGATCCCGATGGGGATTCCGTAGACGGATCCCGATGGGGATTCCGTAGACGGATCCCGATGGGGATTCCGTAGACGGATCCCGATGGGGATTCCGTAGACGGATCCCGATGGAGAAACCGAATACGTATCCTGATGGGGAAACGGAATACGGATCCCGATGGGGAAACCGAATACGGATCCCAATGGGAAAACCGAATACGGGTCCCAATGGGGAAACCGAATACGGATCCCGATGGGAAAACCGAATACGGGTCCCAATGGGGAAACCGAATACGGATCCTCCCGATGGGGAAACCGAATACGGATCCCGATGGGGAAACCGAATACGGATCCCGATGGGAAAACCGAATACGGGTCCCAATGGGGAAACCGCATACGGATCCCGATGGGGAAACCGAATATGAATCCCGATGGGAAAACCGAATACGGGTCCCAATGGGATAACCGCATACGGATCCCGATGGGGATTCCGTAGACGGATCCCGATGGGAAAACCGAATACGGGTCCCAATGGGGAAACCGCATACGGATCCCGATGGGGAAACCGAATACGGATCCCGATGGGAAAACCGAATACGGGTCCCAATGGGATAACCGCATACGGATCCCTATGGGGAAACCGTAGACGGATCCCGATGGGAAAACCGAATACGGGTCCCAATGGGGAAACCGAATACGGATCCCGATGGGAAAACCGAATACGGGTCCCAATGGGGAAACCGAATACGGATCCCGATGGGAAAACCGAATACGGGTTCCAATGGGGAAACCGCATACGGATCCCGATGGGGATTCCGTAGACGGATCCCGATGGGGATTCCGTAGACGGATCCCGATGGGGATTCCGTAGACGGATCCCGATGGGGATTCCGTAGACGGATCCCGATGGAGAAACCGAATACGTATCCTGATGGGGAAACGGAATACGGATCCCGATGGGGAAACCGAATACGGGTCCCAATGGGGAAACCGAATACGGATCCCGATGGGAAAACCGAATACGGGTCCCAATGGGGAAACCGAATACGGATCCCGATGGGAAAACCGAATACGGGTCCCAATGGGGAAACCGCATACGGATCCCGATGGGGAAACCGAATATGGATCCCGATGGGAAAACCGAATACGGGTCCCAATGGGGAAACCGCATACGGATCCCGATGGGGAAACCGAATATGGATCCCGATGGGAAAACCGAATACGGGTCCCAATGGGATAACCGCATACGGATCCCGATGGGGAAACCGAATACGTATCCCGATGGGGAAACCGAATACGTATCCTGATGGGGAAACCGAATACGGATCCTGATGGGGAAACCGAATACGGATCCCAATAGGAAAACCGAATACGGGTCCCAATGGGGAAACCGAATACGGATCCCGATGGGGATTTCGTAGGCGGATCCCGATGGGGAAACCGAATACGGATCCCGATGGGGAAACCGAAT